GGTCAACGCGCTACTCAGTCTTGCCTGCCTCACGGACTTCACAGAAAAACATCTCTGCCAATACGACTGGAGTGCTTTGCAAAAACTTTCCTTCTAAATGAATCCCCGTCATTTTTTAATAATTAATAAAAAGTTAATTAAACCTCAATAAATCATTACTTCATTCATTTTGGGACATTTATTGGCTTAAACAAACGGGAGCACTGCCAAGAAAATGGAATTGCTTTACACTTTATTTAGATATTAAGGCAGTAGGGTGGAAGCCTTCTGGATTTCCCCCAGCGTATTTATCCCTTTCAGTAATGTGAAAGATAAAACAAATGCAACAGTCTTGCAATGCTTCTTTGCAGGAACATGTGTTGGATTGCATTAGGTTGCACAGGACTTACAGGTTTTGTGTCCATGTCTTTATTGCAAGAAGCAATGGATTGTACAACATTTAAATAAATGTGTGAAAAAATGTTCGCTATAGGAACCAAGTTGTGAACTCAGTGGAGATTAGGTTTAATGCATCACTGTCGATGTGTTGGAGTTATCTTTATTACATGATCAAGTGTTGTAGGCCATGCTACTGAGTTAATCATTGAATTTGTTTAAAGACATATTTGTACCATGAATGTACACGTGTCGGTTTGTTATCTAGCATAGGGTCATGTAACATGTGATTATATAAGGTCAGAAAGAATAGTGTTGCAAACCAAAGTATAGGAATTCCTTTAGAGAGTACATGTTTGAAATATGCGGCATTTTATACTCAACAAGCATTGTGAAATGTATTAAAGCAGATACAATAAAGTGGTTCATAATGTTTATGGTTATAAGGGGTCTAAAGAGGAATGAGTGGGATCTACTTTCTCCAACATGCTATGGAGGAGAAAACAGACAGGTGTGGTCTCTTGACCCTGAGCTGAAGGAAAACAACGAGCCATTCAACAAGCTTTGCTCCACGGCACGCCTCCTCATTCCAACTTTGCGTGCATGAGCGGTGAGATGAAGCGACGACGGTGTGGCTGCTGTTATTGTCAACTGGATAAAATTAAAAAAATATGTATTCAAAAGAACTACAAAATAAACAACAGACAAAGGGAGTGAGTGTGTAGCCTGCGGGAGGAGAGGAGTGACAGTGAAGTGACAGACTCAAATGAGATATTATTCTCTATGGCCCACTGTATAGGGGGGGAACTAAAAAACGCTCAGCTTGGACACACACACATGCACTCTCAGTCACAAATAGAAAAGCATGAAAACACACTCTTTTATGATCGTATCACAAATGCCACCATCAAGGCTGAAAGCTAAGAGGAATCCAACTTTGTGTGACCTAAGAAGTGAGATGGAGACATAGAGATGATGGTCTCAATCCTTCAGTATTACACATTCACAGATATACGATGTCCCCGTTTCTTCTCAATCCTGTAGGGACCCTGAACCAACAGTGACCAGCTTCAACAAAGAAGCCCAAAGCCCCACCAAAGGTTAACACTGACAGGAGCTTTAGGACCACTTTTATTTCATTCCCCATCCCATCCCATCTTTTCGCATAATCTCACATCCATCATTTTCCTCCATGCCTGTCAGTTTGCATTTCAAACTAAAGCCCCACTGGGTCACTATAGCCCGTGGAGACCCGCACACACTCGCAGCAAATATCGACATGCATATATGTGACCTGGCTCTAATTCATTCATCCTCACACACACATATGCTCTTTTACATACATGTGGTGCAGCAAAGGTCACACATTCAGTGTTGGACAGTGTGATAATGCATCAGACTTGGATAAACAACTGGTGGTGAAGGTGGCAGGATATAAATCAGATGCAGGGAGAGATAGCCTCCTTTCCACTGGCAACTGTGAGCTATTATCTACAGTCAGTGTCACAAGTGAATAAAAAGCTTTGTTCTTAAGTGTCTGTGTATGTCTAACACACCATAGGATCACATTATCTGTTATATGGTGTGCATTTCTACATATATGTGGAAGAGCTGTTCACCAAATGGTAAGTGTGTTGTTGAAAGCCCTGCAGTTTATGATCCATGGTTACTATGTCGTTTTTACAATTTGTGCAGCATTTGGTAATATTAATCTAAGACGATATTGTTAGTGTCCATCATTTTGTGGGGTAAAAAACATTGAAAATGATAAAAATATTCATGGCATTAATGAGTTTATGAAACATTATGTATACAATTATTTTGTAATTTTTTCTTACATTAGTATTCATCATACGGCTATTGTGTGTGTGTGTGTGTGTGTGTGTGTGTGTGTGTGTGTGTGTGTGTGTGTGTGTGTGTGTGTGTGTGTGTGGGGTGTGTGTGTGTGGTGTGTGCGTGTGTGTTTGTGAGTAGATGTAATGATGTCACAGTGATGCAGTTGCGTTCTGGTTGGGAGAGCGCCATCATTCTCAAAACTCTGACGGGAATACTGCAGCAAAACGTCAGGGGACAGCTCTACTGCAGACGTACGCTATCAGCTAGTCACAATCTCATATTTTGCACACACACACACACACACACACACACACACACACACACACACACACACACACACACACACACACACACACACACACACACGCACACGCGCCCCCCCCCTTGAGTTCCTTCCCCTCACACTTGAAATTATTTATTTTAACATCACCAGGGGAAATGCCCAAACAGCAAAGAATGGAACATATAGCACACTGGCTACCTGCTGAAGCCTATTTTGTTCAAACTTTTGTGTATCACCGAAGTTAACCAAAGAGGCAATACTATTACTGATACCATGAAACCTCAGTGTAATTTAACTGAATTATTTTTTTTGTTACAAAGAATGTATTTCCACTTTTCTTTTCAGGTCCTGAGTAATGAGTTCCCATGTTGAATATTATGGCGCATCAACCCAAAAAGCCGCCATAAGATCAGTAGGTGGCGTTATCTAGACACATTCACTCTTCCTAAATGTCGTCCAGTCGAGAGACCTGATTTTCCTGACATGGATGTCACAAAGAAATAACAGTTTGGCCTTATGGAATTCAAAACTGATCTGACTTTATATTGTAAACACAAACCACACAGTAGCCCTAATTAAAACTTCCAAAAGTACATATACATAACCCCTGACAGGCAGCCCCCTCTGGTCCCACACATCATCTCCACTACACTAAACCGTAGCCTAATATCAGCCTTAACACTAATCAATCCCTGGAGTACTATCAGTCTCTTTACAGACGCACTGACGTGAGCTGGAGCAGGGAAATGAAGACATTCTAATAAGAAAGATGTCATCTCCCATACTTTATAACATCCTCACATTAACATATCAAATGGTAATTCTATCAAGTATGGATAAGGCTTTTCATTTTTTTTGTATCTCCTTTTCTTTTTCTTTTTATCTCTGGGGGACATTTTCAACTTTAAGGAAATCAAAAGCCTGTGTGAGACAAAATATTTTTCTGTTATTATTCAACAGAGAACACAGATAGCATCTTATCTCTGTATGGTCTCAGAGAGAGAGAGAGGAAGAGAGAGCTTTGAGGAAAGGCACATGCATTATGTTCACAACAGATGAGTGCATCCAAACATACATCATCACACATGAACGTAAACAAAGACGGGCAAAACACTCCCTGTTAAATCCAATTAACCCTCCGCTCTGATCCCCTCAATGCATCCCTGCCCCTGTCTTGTAACACCAGACCTTCCCGCTATTTCATTAGCACACACACACATACACACACACACACACACACACATGCAGATAACCCCCCCTTCCTTTACCTTTCCACAATTGTAATCCAGTCACAGCCCTGCTAATGCACCTCCTATAATCCAATCAGCCAATCACTGCCCTTCATGCAAAGGCCTGTGTCACATGACTACCCGCACGTTAGCTCAACGTTCGCTGGCAGTTAGCACTGTCATTTTTGAGCTAATGTTATTCCAGTTTTTCTTTAATGTGATTTGGGAAGTCTCAGCTTCGGCTTCCATGAGTCTAGCGCTAAACCCCTGGTGGGCTAGGCTAATCAGTTTCCAGCATTTCGGAGGGAGACAATGATCCCGGTGTTAGCGCTGGCTAATGACAAGCTAACACAATTAGCCTTGCCTCCCTGGAGAAGAGCTCAGAGCCAGGGCCCATCTTGCCCCACCTCCTGCCGTCTCTTCCTCCACTTTTCCTACATTACTATGGAGCCTAATGGCCTCCTATTAAGGAGACAGATGGAACACGGATGGAGAGGGATTCTGCTTCCTCTTAAGTTACACATATGTGTCGGAGATGTGCTACACCCATGACTGCTTGGTTAGCTATTACCTCCTCTGTTAATAACTACAATGAAGTACCCCTTCCTTTTACTGAAAGGTGTGTCTACTCCATGTGCTTCCAATAATAGTGAGTGTAGAACTATCAGAGTCAGGATCATACATTCCCTCATGGTACTGTAATGCAATTTGAATCAAAATAGGTTTAAAATACATCATTACAATTATTAGATTGCAAGTGGTAGGTCGTTTGTATTACAGCAAATGAGTCAAACCTATTTTAAAGCCAATGTAAGTTTTATTTTCTGCAGCACAAAGGTTATCTTATGCTTGTGTCTTAATGTGGTATTAACTGGTTTCATAATGCTGTTTCACCCATGTCTAGTTGAAAATTAGAATTAATAATATTCTTCTAACACAGAAACATTAAAAGGGCACGAGAAGCGCCCTGTCAGCTATTATTAATATGCGATCAGCCTTATCAGTGGACAACATCATCAACATCAGCTAATGGGCCGTGCTAATGTGATCCTGATTGAAAGACATAGGTTAGTGGCTAGCATAATTCAATACTGTATTTATTTACTATTCCACATGGACTTCTTATCTTCTATGCCAGGAAAAAAATGGGATTTTTGGCAAAATAAATAAATAAGCTAAGGAAAGCAACAATCAGAGTTCTATTTTTGGCGGTAAATGAAAAACTGTTGCGAGTTAAAACCCTTGATCTACTTTGGATTGAAAGTGTTTAAACTCACCTGAACTTAGCATTCACTTGGTCGGCAGCTTTATGGTAGTTCTCTGTGGTGACCTTGTAGAACTGAGCACTCTGCAGAGAGACACAAAGAAAGCCAGTGAGTGAGATAAATGCATAAAACAGTGATTGTAATCTCCCATATAAAAAAGCCTATCCAATTTATTCCCATCTTCCCTGCTCTCAAGTTAAAGCTATTTAAGCAAAAGGAAACATTTCAGCGAAGTGTTGAATCGTGAAAGTTCAGATATGATATCGCCCTGTCTACAGTGCAGCCGAGCCTGCACAGCCCTGCCTGATCTACCACCACTCAAACTCCATTACATCTTAGTGGAGAGGGATATTAGGGGAACAGGTCTATTACCAGTTTGCCTTTTGTCCAGAAAATGGAAGCTAACTTGGTCTACAGGTGGAGAGTGGGCAGTATATGCGTGGATGTATGAAATCAGACTGGGCATCTGTGTGAGTGTGTGTTTGTGCTTATCCTCTCTCAAACGACTGCTGTAATAACAGGCAGCAATCCTATAAGGTCAGAGGGTCGCTAGTCAACAGCGTACAGACCACCAGTCATAAGTCTCCAATGACCCATAGCAAATTAACTTGTAGCTGGACCCCTCAACCTGAATCACCTCTTCAAACACCACCATATAACATAGCACATACACCATTTATACTACTCAAGAAGATCTGGTTTGTCAGCCCTCAGTGGCTGTTATGCACATTTATGATCAAATGGTGAGAGGTGGTAAAGTGTGATGGATGGCTTGACAGAACGTCCTATGAGGTTTCGATCCAGGGGGAAAAAAACATGCAATGTCTACCAATGCCTTTCTGTCAGGTACTCAACTTGAATGATAGTAATACCTCCATTAATACCTTCACTTAAAAAGTTCACTTCACACAAGCAGAACAATATTTTCTTTACATATTTGACAGTTAAAGGTTTTATGCTAAAACAGAGCAATTATTTGTGAGCTATATGTGCCTTAGTAAAGGCCTGACAATAACCTTAGGCTTAGTATTTGTCATGCACAAAGCACAGAGCCCAGGAGCCAGCCAACCCATCAACATTACTGGAAACCAAACACTTCATCATCTTGCATAAATTACAGATACATTAGAAATGTGACAAATTAAGCCTTTTGGTCCCAACTGCCCTGACTTAACCTTCCAGCAGGGAGGACATTCATCATAGTTCAGAAAAGATCAATAGGAATGAGCTGCACTGCTGAAAAGATCAATAGTTGTGTGTTGTAGAGCTAAAGGAAGATGGGACATGACAATGCTGACAAAAGGTCTGATACACATTTGAGTCCTATTCATTTGGAATGACAGTAAGGGTTTGCAATGGATTCAGAGACCTTTTTTCACATATACAGTGGGGCAAAAAAGTATTTAGTCAGCCACCAATAGTGCAAATTCTCCCACTTAAAAAGATGAGAGGCCTGTAATTTTCATCCTAGGTATACCTCAACTATGAGAGACAAAATGAGAAAAAGAATCCAGAAAATCACATTGTCTGATTTTTAAAGAATTTATTTGCAAATTATGGTGGAAAATAAGTATTTGGTCAATAACAAAAGTTCATCTCAATACTTTGTTATATACCCTTTGTTGGCAATGACAGAGGTCGAACGTTTTCTGTAAGTCTTCACAAGGTTTTCACACACTGTTGCTGGTATTTTGGCCCATTCCTCCATGCAGATCTCCTCTAGAGCAGTGATGTTTTGGGGCTGTCGCTGAGCAACACGGACTTTCAACTCCCTCCAAAGATTTTCTATGGGGTTGAGATCTGGAGACTGGCTAGGCCACTCCAGGACCTTGAAATGCTTCTTACGAAGCCAATCCTTCGTTGCCCGGCGGTGTGTTTGGGATCATTGTCATGCTGAAAGACCCAGCCATGTTTCATCTTCAATGCCCTTGCTGATTGAAGGAGGTTGTTACTCAAAATCTCACGATACATGGCCCAGTTCATTCTTTCCTTTACACGGATCAGTCGTCCTGTTCTCTTTGCAGAAAAACAGCCCCAAAGCATGATGTTTCCACCCCCATGTTTCACAGTAGGTATGGTGTTCTTTGGATGCAACTCAGCATTCTTTCTCCTCCAAACACGTCTAGTTGAGTTTTTACCAAAAAGTTATATTTTGGTTTCATCTGACCATATGACATTCTCCCAATCCTCTTCTGGATCATCTAAATGCTCTCTAGCAAACTTCAGACGGGCCTGGACATGTACTGGCTTAAGCAGGGGGACACGTCTGGCACTGCAGGATTTGAGTCCCTGGCGGCGTAGTGTGTTACTGATGGTAGCCTTTGTTACTTTGGTCCCAGCTCTCTGCAGGTCATTGACTAGGTCCCCCCGTGTGGTTCTGGGATTTTTGCTCACCGTTCTTGTGATCATTTTGACCCCACGGGGTGAGATCTTGCGTGGAGGCCCAGATCGAGGGAGATTATCAGTGGTCTTGTATGTCTTCCATTTTCTAATAATTGCTCCCACAGTTGATTTCTTCACACCAAGCTGCTTACCTATTGCAGATTCAGTCTTCCCAGCCTGGTGCAGGTCTACAATTTTGTTTCTGGTGTCCTTTGACAGCTCTTTGGTCTTGGCCATAGTGGAGTTTGGAGTGTGACTGTTTGAGGTTGTGGACAGGTGTCTTTTATACTGATAACGAGTTCAAACAGGTGCCATTAATACAGTTAACAAGTGGAGGACAGAGGAGGCTCTTAAAGAAGAAGTTACAGGTCTTTGAGAGACAGAAATCTTGTTTGTTTGTAGGTGACCAAATACTTATTTTCCACCATAATTTGCAAATAAATTCTTTAAAAATCAGACAATGTGATTTTCTGGATTATTTTTTTTTCTCATTTTGTCTCTCATAGTTGAGGTATACCTAGGATGAAAATTACAGGCCTCTCTTCTTTTTAAGTGGGAGAACTTGCACAAGTGGCGGCTGACTAAATACTTTTTTCCCCCACTGTACATATACTGTATACAGTAGTTACAGACAAAATCATTTATATTTCTGACATCAAAATGCAAACTGCTCTCCATAACAAAACACAAAAAAGGGTTTTAGATATCAAGATACATGTACAATATATACTTTATAGACGTTTCAAGTCCACATGTATCAAATGTAAATAATGTATGCCTATGCAGGGTCCCATGTCCCGTGAGTTAAGTCATGCTCTCTAATACGCCTTCCATCAAATTTAAGATGCACGTTCAGGGATTTATTTGCAGAAGGTTTGATTGTGTACGGAAACGTGAAAAAATGTAAATATCCTTCTTGAAATGCATAAACCAAAATAATTTGATAAAATATAAAGGGGTCTTAATACTTAACAGATCCACTGCACTATCCCTCAGGCAGACATTAGTTTCTATGTTAAACCCAATAAAGAAGTATGCCCAAAGTTTAAGAGTTAACTTGTAAGCTGCTGTTCTATCTGTGCCCTCTTGGCCTTGAATCAATTGGTTTTCATTGTAGACAAAGAAACTGTCAAGAGCTAAGAAAAGTATTTCAAAGAGAAGCTTATAAACAGATAAAAAGACTAACTGGAGATTTTTTTTAAGTTGCTAAAGACGCAAGAATAAGACTTCTCCTGGGTGCTGAGATTCAACCATTTTAACGGAAAGAGAGTTGGAAAGAGACAAATTTGGGTCTCTGTTTAGAATACTAAGTAGGTAATAATACACGCCTAAATGGCACTTTTCAGTGCACACATACGCCTGGAAAGACAAAAGGCCATGTGTGACAATGATAGCAGGACCTTTCAATATACATACACACAAACTCACAAACTCGCTCGTTCACTGTACAGAGCAGTGAAGAGTGTCATTTGTGTGATTACTGAGTGTTGTCAAATCATGATTTCCTGCTGTTGCCCCAGCTGATTTCAAGAGTAACCCTGACCTTTTTGTTAGCCCAGTGAGACAAGACTTGGTTAACACAAGTCTCACAAAGAGCTTTTTCGATTGCTCTCAAGCTATTCTTTGTCAATTGACTAACAAAATGGACTAACAAAATGTGTAGCAACCACAACCTTGTTAAACAGTGTTTCTGTTTGTTTTCATCCTATTGACTCTATTTGTTTTCACTAGGTTTCTGGCTCATCTGGAGCCATACAAAATGCTGGTGGGGGGTGTCTCAGACAAATTAAGTCATTAGTGCTAATGCACTGCAGCGATATGGAGAAGATAGAAGATGCACCCCAACGCAGGCCCCAGCGCAATTTAGAGGAAAAGCCACACATTTTTAATGAACACAACAAATAACTCCCTGTCCTGATGGCTCCTTTCTCTTATCTGCTGCTGAGCAGGAGGGCCGGAATGGGGAGAAACCCCACCATGTTCAACATGTTCTGTGGTTCTGAAAATAAGACTTCTGCTGTGTGACTCAGTGCAACTTGCTCAGAAGGAGAGCGAATAGGCAACAACATCTCTAACCATATGTTAAGGTAGAACAGTTGAATTTTACATATGATGATTATACATTTGATGAATACATCCAAATGTTGGCTGTTCCAATTTTAAGGGGAGATCTTAAGTGTAAAAACGACTCATTGTTGTTTCACGATTGTTAATCAAGACAGAATCTTGCCTCAGTTGCTTCCTTAAGTCTTTACAGGTTGATAAATACGTGGCTTAAGTGATTACTTGTGTTTAGCTAAGCTAACTGGCTGCAGCTTCGTATTTAGCATAGATGAATATTTCCCCAAATGTTAAATATATATTTAATTTGACTTCTTTAGTTATTGTCCTTGTAAGCCTGTGTAAAATGAGTTCAATCCTCATTTATTTTTTCAATACAATACTATAGCAGACTTATGATTAGATACTGTAAATCAACAGTCTTTTCTTAAGTCTTAAGAAAACACTGAACACTTTAAGCTCACATTTCAAAAGTTGTATCTCTACATTATTATTTTTGCCTCTGGATCATCCCTGCTGTCGGATTTTTTAAACATAAACAAAATGTACCTCTCTGTTGTTGTGAAATCACCACTCTTTGAAAAGACTACCCATTAAATCCCTGTGAATCCCATTATGCGGCTATAACAGCAAACAGACAATCTCCAGCGACTACATTGATCGCCTCGTGGTGAATGAGAATTAAAAAGATGTATTAACTGCTACAATACAGCAGCAAGACAAACCATAAGCACCTGTTTTCAGTTTAGGTTACATTTGAACAGACAACAAGCAAAAAGAGACAGAGGGCAATAGACTGAGAGGGATATAGAAATGACAGACATAGGAAAAGATGAAGATACCAAGACAGAGATAGAGAGATAGAAGCTATTACTGGTTTTTGTAAGGCTCTTTCCTCTGTATTTCTTCTTTTCACAGAGCTGTGGAACTTTGCTATGAGATGGCAATTGCTGCAGTGATTGTCCTCCATGGGAGAGCAGAAAAATCCAATTTCATCGATATACAAGGCGAAAAGAGAGATAGTAAAAAAAAAAAAACAGAGAAGAAAAATCCTTACTGAAATTGAAGCATGGAGGGAAAAACACCACTCCAAGAAAAAAGAAAGGAAAATGGAGAGATATATAGAAAGACAGATGTGGCGAGGAGGGGGGCCTGGAAAGAGACATGGTCGAGGAAAAAAAAAAACAATGGCTAGTTGATTGTTAAATATGAGATTGTTTTACAGCAGGGCAGGTATTGAGTGAAAATGTAATAAATATATAGATATTGTTTGCAGCGGTTATTTGGTGGCTGTGGCCCCAATGAGCGGCGGCAGCAGCAGAGGGCTGAGCTGCCTGGGAGCCTGGTGATGGCCTGTCACTGGAAGCCCCTCTGATGAATGGCTATGTTGGATTGGAACAGACATGTAATATATATCAGACTTATATTTCTCTCTCCGATTCCCTTTTTGTGCTGGTGTGCACGATGCTGGCTGTGGGAATCCTGAGGCAAAGGGAGGAGTGGAGGGAGATAATATTAAGCTAGCAGTACCCTCCAAATGAAATAACTACAGCTTTGTTCACTGCCGTGCCCACCCATACAGCATCACCTGACATGCTCAACAATGTCAGGCAATATAGTCTTCAGCTATATATATCCTTGAAGTGACACAAGAGTCTACTTTATGATTGTTCATAAGTTTATCATGTGGGCATACCCTATTTCAACACCCTCACACATTTGTGGGTGCTACAGACTATTGTAAGACAGTTTCTTTTCCCATCAGTCATGAATATTTTAATCAGCCTTGATGTGAAGGCGATGGTTCGTTTTGGTTTCACAGTTTAATTATTTAAGTTCATATAAGAATTATGCATGACATAAAGTACAAATTTGACCCGGATATGGATACTGTATGTTTGTTGTCCAGTTTTTCTGTCTATTTTCATACATACTTATCTGTTTGTAAGCTGCATGTTGAGCTTTGCTGAGCTGTATGTATCTTCCTTAATTTGCTCTCTCTACTGTCTATATGTATTTAGCTTCTGGAGTGGACGTCACTAACCAAGTGAGAGTTACAGTGATTGAGTGAGGTGCAGAACATGCCAAAAACCCTGACTTTGGTATACTGCTGGGATTGTGTTGGGCGAAGGGATCATGGACTGATGCAATGCTGAGAGTGCCAAATGGAGCACTGTGGCGGGAACATGAAAAAGGAGCGTTATTAACACAGTCCAAACAGACTGCACCCCCTATGGAGTCCCAAGCGGCTCGCTACACAGCAAGACAACATGCAATATGCCCACCATTGATCCTCACTTACAAGCAGAATCACACATTACGCACACATGGTCGCCACTTCTGCTGTGTTGTGTTTCCATAGGGCCATAAATCTGATACAATTAGCAAATACAAAAAATGTGGGAATGATTTTTTAATTCCTCTGCAGGCATGAAAAAATAAGACACTGTTCACACTCCTGCATTGAAAATTCACTGTCTTACATGACTTACAGCTTTTCTTTAAAATGTATTCAGTGATGGTTGGAGAGCTGTTTCAACCTTTCTTTTACTCTTTTGTTCTTTATCATTCGGTGACATTTGATCTTTTTTGATACTACTCTTCTGTCTCTTTCTTTGACTTTAGTCTTTGTCTAGTTCTTATCCTCACTCACTCACAAATGTCACTTTATCATAATTCCATGTGATACCTTCGGGGTACAATTCCAATTTGTCTGTCCTGTCTCCTTTTCAATCTTGTCTTTCCTGGTGTCGAATTTCTAGTTTCCTCTTTTTTCCGCTAGCTTCTGTCTTCAATACAGTATCTCTTTACTTGGCTCTTCATCGCTCCCTTTCTTTCTTTCTCAATCTTCTGCCCCTCTCTGAGGTGTGAAGGTGATTTGTTGACACTTTGATCTAAGGAATATTGACAAGTGGCCAACGTGACTGATGGATGGTCAGTGCCTGAAGTCGATAATGCCTGTGTAAGTTGGGACTCATCGCTTCTACCATCAGCGCTCACATCTGCTCCTCTAGAGGGCGATTCAGCCGAGCTACACTGAGCGAAGACGCAATAACAAAACACTAGTTGAAGAGATGAAAGAGAGGCTCAGGTATAAGGATGGATCTCCAGGGTATTAGAGCAACAAGAGAGCATGCCTGCATGACATAATATTGCAACATTTTTAGGTATTTTGCCATGCCGTCGACCTGCTAAGAAAAGTCGGTAAAGTTGTTTACTTTACTAATGATCCATCTCTTAATTCCCACCTTCCCCTAATGTCAACCAATGGCTTCTCTCCTCTCCGCTGCCCAACCAGAGTTGCACAGACCAATGCACTTCCAATTACTGACAGAAGTCCACTACCACTCAATACCCACTGGCTTGGCTTAAGTATTCATTCTCAGTGAAGGAATGACAATTTGTGCGCTCTATTGACTCAAAAGGTGGACTGTCTTCTTTTATTTAATGGTAACTAACAAATGCATACTAACATATTAAAGAAGCATGTTTAATTATTATGGGCTGTTTGATCAAACAGCTCAGAAGACGTTAAGTAAAAACAAAAGTATATTTAATTCCCATAACACTGATGTGATATTTAGCATCCTTGGATTCCCATAAGTTCCTAAGAACAAGAATATGTGAGTGCCTACCTCTTTCTCAGTGAATATCTGGCTTCACAAATGTTGTAAAATGTTCACTTTGCTACCACTATAGGGAGCATTTGACTTTTTGCTCTCTCCAAAGGGGATAAAACTCCTTCCCAGCATGACAGCCTCATTTTAAGCACATTAAATTGGGCGTTATATCCTTCCTAAGATACACGTATGATTTGAGAGCAGCATGAGCAGCATAACCCTCTCTACACACGTTAAGAGGGCATTTGACCCTTGTGGCCCGCCTTGCAGGCGGACGCCTGGGTCTCCCTGGGACCAGCATGGAGCTGCGATTTGAAGTTGGCAAAGCTTGGCAGCTGACCCTTGTCCCCCTCCATAGGACACTGGTTTGACAAGGACCATCAGGGTAGTGTCATTTCCAGGGACAGAAGGACTCACACAGGGATGAATGAGATGTAACCCTTTATCCTTCAGGCGGAGGGTAGAAATTAAAAGAAATAAAGAGCGCCAGAGAGCAAAAGAGCAGCAGAGACAATTACGGAGAGAGCAATGCAGACCACACTGGGGAACGCATGCAGAGTTAAAGTTGAGGGATGATAACAAAAACAGTAGGGCAGGGGGATGAAGAGAAGGAATATATGTGAGACTGTACTTAGGCTGAGCCCTGTGGTGACCGAGCTCTCTGTGAATGCTGGCTGAATTGTGTGCATTATTCTATGTGCACTGCTATGTGTCGATTCAAGCATTAAACATGAATAGAAGAAGGTTATAAAACCCCAGGCACATAAACCAGAGCTGCAGTCCATGATGCATATTCTTAACATTAGTGATGATGTAATCTTGCTTGGTGGCTGTATAATGCGGTATTGAGTGTTTCTTTTGTCCTCTGTTGTAAAATGGAAAGTTTTCTTTTGCTTTACTTTTTGTGTCTTCGATCTTTGTATTTTCTTAAATGTTACGGTTCAGTTTTGTTTTATTATTTAGCTTTTTAAACATCCTTATTGTAGTTACTCTCTATGTAGAGAAAAACTCTGAAATTAATTGATTTCCATGCAAGGTTTAGTAAACATTTGTATGGTTCTACATAAAGCATGCGCAATGCATTCACAAGAGCCTGTCAGCTATCAGTTGGTTTGTGCTGTCTAAAAGGTGTTTGTATCGACATTCCCAATCTTAAGACCACAACCCTGTAATAGGAGACTGATTTACCACTCTCTGTAGAACCTGGCAGATCCTATCTTTGAAAGCTGGGTTACAAATTAATATTACCAGTGAACATAAAAAGGCCTTTTCAGGTTGTTGTATGGTTAAAAAAGTGTCTTACCCTCTCCTCCAGCCGGGCCACCTGCTCTCTGTAGAAAGCATCCTGCTTCTTTAGGTCTGCTTCCCTGGCCCCCAGCTGCTTGGCCTAAATACACACAAATGAAAACACACACAGAAATATAAATACATGGCTCCACATCCAGAATACATTACATGTGTGCTCAGTGGAGCATTGACAATTTCATCTAACGGATCACCTAATGCACACATAAACAACTATACACAAGAGAGGCAAATAATGAGTTTATATTAAGAAGAGACGTGTTATAACACAACGCAGGCCTTCTGTTTACGGGCTATACTTAGGAACAATGTGTGAATGATTTATATCGTATAATGTCTGATGATGTGTGTTCTGCACCTGCCAGCATGTAAATACGAGGTATATGAGGGGTTTTTGCACCTGGGAATATGTGCACATTTTGCCTAAAATGTTGAAAATACACCTGTGTGTGAGAGTGATGATGCCTTGGCTTGTATTGTATGTGCTTCTTTGTCCTCTCCTGTTCACTCTTCAGCCAAAGCACTATCAGGCCACGAGGATAACATCAGTTCTCAGCACGAACCATGGTCTGGTGTATATATCTACCCAGAACTACCAATCTCCACTGTCCTCCCCTCTACTGTGACCTTCACTAAACGTAAGGCTGCTTCTCCGGGTGATATACAGGACAGATAAGACCTGGATGTATCAGATCCAAGAGAGGAAAAAGCAGACCTTCACACAGGGAAAGACGACAGTGACTCTAAATATAAAATAAAATTAAAAGAAGTTTACCTTTTTTCAAACCCATATTTATAGGATTCATAGACTTGTTATTGGGACTTACTAAAGAGAAACTTTTGTGGTATTCTTAAAAGACGTATGTTATTAAAAAAAGGACAGTTAACTCTGGGACCTAGTCAAAATCATTGTGTCTTACAGCTCCCTGCTGTTAATAAAGCCAGAAAGTAAAAAACAATATATATATAATATATATATGCTATATCTATAATTCTACAAAGCATCTGGAGTTAGAAAGCTGTAAAAAGGGAACATTAAAATATGGAGCAGCTGAAATACCAGGTGGGAAAGAAAAGTAATATGTCAGAGAAGCTGAAAGGGGAAAAAGAAACCCTTGACTCTATCCTGCAGAAACAGCGTGAGAGAACTGTAGAGTGTGGGAGAAGAAGGTAAAGACCTCTAGACTTACCTTCAGCCCAATCTCCTGAAGAAAGGGAGGCATTGTGGAAAAACAAGAGGAGAAGCAGAGAAAGAGTGTAAAGAGGCACTGATTCATCCATGAACTTCTTCAAAGTGACATTTGGAAAGGTTTAGTATTCAGGGGTGACTGGCTGCCACACTGTTCTGCCTGAATACTCACACTTCATACCCTTTATCTCCTCTTGCACTGGTCTATACACACACCAGTGCATACACACACAATACATGTATGGTTTACGACTACAAATGATTTTTGTATGCACACATGATCAGTTACATAAATTCAAACTATGGAAAGCAGCCATGCTTTAAAGCTTTTGCTTCCAGCACTGAGGGTTGTTGAAGGAGACAGAGAGTGCATGAAGAAAACACTATGTATGGGAAAATAATTGTATTACCCCATCCAATCTCTACTACACTGATAACCATCTGCTTTGGTGACTCAGTGCACTGCAGGCGGAGCTGCGTGCTCTATGCATTGTGATGAGGAGTGTCACCGAGGGGCTGTTCTCAAACCAGATGAGTGGGGGAAGTTTCAAAGTCAAGGGGATGCTCCAAGCTTACCCACACCCACACGTAGGCACGCAGGTAGGCACACAGGCACACACACACACACACACACACACACACACACACACACACACACACACACACACACACACACAGAGGAACAACACTCCACTGCAGCACTTTATCCATTCCTGACAACACTCAGTGAAGCAACACCATGACCAAGTGGCTGCTGTCTCTGCAGTCCTCAGCACAACCTAATATTTACTATTGTTGAGGCCAGAAAACTGTCTCCATTTTGTCCCCTTACATGTCTCAAGTGGTATTTTGTAGCCAGTGTGATGCAAAAACCTAAAGCTGCGTGCACGTGATCGAATCAAGTTGAACTTGAACCAAAATAATGGTGCAGGGTGAATGAACCCTGAAGTATATCCTTAAAAGTATGCAGTAAGTACATAAACTAGCACGATCATGACCTTAAAATGTGTTATCAATTCAAAGCATGTCGAGGTGCCAAAAAACTGTCTCACACAAACAGCTCAATTTAAGAGAAAGAGGGATGATGGGATGGAGGGATACACAAAGAGGAGAGGACTGGCAGGGGGTTGTGTTCCGTCTCAAGTGTGTCAAAACGAAGTGTTACGCTGATAGGTGGTGACTTAAGACTTTAGCTTTGCAGAGGGAGACAAAAGATGCACACAGACGCCGGACACAAACAACGGCTTAGACACTGATCTGAAACGCACACACATACACCAGCCGGAGCAGCTGTATCCGCAGAGAGCGGGTGGAGAGATAAATGTGTGCTGAAGGCGAGACTAAAGGGGTCATTAAAAGAGGAGAGGTTGTGACAGAAATGTGTGCCCAGGGATTTTGTTTTCTCGCTCACTTTTGTGCATCTATGCGTAAGTCTATGCATACACGCAGCCGTTCATGTGTTCAATTTCCATGCAAGCAGGTTGGCCCTCCTTTTTGAGGACAAACACAGGCCCAGACACACACACACTGTCAGGACTGATTAACCCTATTCAGCAGACTTTAAAGATAATCTAATCGTACTAAAGGCCAAACAATAGCACAGACTTCACCACTGCCCATACACCTTTTGTTCCCCTAATGAAGAGGCGGGTGGAGGGGGAGAGCTAGGGTAAGTGTGGGGGGTGGTAGAGGGAGAGAGGGGTAGAATCAAACACAAAAATTGAACAAAACTTGAGCGTGGAAAGAATAGAGAGATAAGACACAAAGAGAAGGAGAGGACAATAAAAGGTGATTTATCAATGGAGGTGTCAAGAAAGGAGACAGGCTGTTAGATGGAGCCTAGGCCAAGTGTATCTCTTTAACTTAAGAAAGAATTCAAGAGTGAGTATGATAAAGCACATAAGAAGGATTAAAGCTAAGTGGAAGACACAGGAACAAAACTCTGACAACTGTTTTAGCTTTGAAATCCAGGATTATTGCTTAACTCAGAAATGACTGTCACTTCCTGTTATGATGAACAGTTTCCTGATTTTGTGAGCAATTTGAACATTTTGCTTGTCCAGAGGAGGATGTCATTAATTTGAGTTAATTTATCAATTTGTATTCAGCTTAACTCAGTCAAATCTTTCCGTGCAGCAAACCATGACACAAAGAAAAAAAGTAACCCAGTAAAAAAAATGCTCAAACACTGCGCTGACACTAAGCTTCAGTCACAGCTATCGATAGCTAAGATTAACAAACAGCTAACTTTGACTACCCCCACTCCTACTTTGTATCCATCTCCCCCTGGTCTCTTATTAAGTACAGTAGCACAATGTCTGAGGGTGACAGGCGGTGGAGAGTGGGACCTTGGTGGTCAGATTAAACGGATCGTTTAGGCAAGGTGAACGCCTCTGTGAATATCAATTAGCCCAGCGCTGAATAATTAAGGACAGCCATGTTTTTTAATTAGCCGACTGCCGCAGTTTGAACAGGGAGTGAGGGCGGAGGGGAGGAGGAGCACATGAGAGGAGGGATGAAAACAGGTTGATTTTGCTGCGTCAGGCCCCCCCCACCACCCGCCTCCTGTTCTCTCACCGATTTGGCTGTGTACGCTTTATTTTCTTTCACACCTTCTTTCTGTTCACTTTTTTTATTTAGCGCTTTTCAAGGGACTTCAATTTAAATAGCTTCTGCCTGCAGCATTCAGCAACTGCATATGTGAGTTTGTACTGTGTGCCTATATTCATGACTTCATACATTTATATAGATAAAAATGACATCATATTTGCATACTTTACTGTTCAACTTTTTGTAAAAGAACTGTATACTTTCATGGCACAACAGAAACAAAACCCAAAGAGACTTTCCTAACAAGATAAACGGCCGAATCAGTCATTTCAGCATGCACTCCAAAATGAAAAATGTTTATGTTTTATGTGTCAAAGCCCTCTAGTAGCAGTAGGAGTTATGACCAGAGTAAATAAGAAAGTCTGTGAGGTTGTAGAACATAAAAGTTTGGGTATTTATTTGGGGAGTCCTGACCCCAGTTTGAGAAACATCAAATGTATCTTCTCATGACAAAATTAGATTCATTACAACCCAACATCATACATTTAGTCAAGCCACAGTTGTTGATATAAAGAACAGTAATTTCCCCCTTACTGGGAAAAATAATCAATTTATATATTACATTTTTCATTTCACACCTCAATGATGAAGACCTCTGTATTGTAACAATGATGGGATTCACTGTTACACTGTGCACCAGCTACATGCTTATGAATCATGCTAGATGGAAATAATCTTGCAAGATGCCCTGATCGATAGAGCACAAATCATATCTGATCCCATTAACTAACAGCACCTCATCCATAATAACCTTGGGCTCTTTTGTCTCGCCCTGCCACCATCAGCTCTGACTCTCCCCTGTCACGAGTAGCATCATAATCAATGCTCCCTCACACCATCCGAGTGAGTGTCGCAGCACGGCGGGTCAGAGCCGCTCACCGAGGCCCATCTATCACAGACCTGCGCGACACGGCCCTGTGACAAACTAATACTGAAGCAGCGGGCCTCGGGTCCTGTGTTCCCCGACAGTCAGGGAGGGGGTCAAAGGGCATAGCAATGTGACCGTGCTCTGGTGTTAATTGGCACGGCGGAGGTGTAGGTGGTGCGTGGGAGGTTAGAGATGGATGCAGGGAGGGGAAGTTCATGCGGTAGGGAAGATGAAAGGTAGGGAGAGAAATGGGTCAATGTGTGGCTGGAATATGGATGATAGTACAGTTGGATATGTTTGACAGTTGTTGGGAGAACTGTCATATCAAGAAGATAGGAGAATATTTTAAAAGAGGGGTTTGACGGAAAACACTTCTATTTTGCAGCCATAAAAGAATATATAGAAAGCTCACACGTTCACAACATAGGTTCACACCCAGAACTGTTTAAGAAGACACACTTCCCTGACAGAAATCTTGGCACATCCTGTAACTGCCTCTAAAACCACTGCAACTCTATCTTTAAAAGCAATCACTGGCAGATCAAATCTATGTGATGGAGTGTAAAATGATATCACCTAACACAGACCTTACTGGCAGTATTACTGTATGCATTACCCTTAGAGTCCTTAATAAAACACAAGTCCTGGTAGCAGTAGCTGTAAAACTCCATCGGAGACCATTCACTTTGCTGGGTAATTAGAATCATGGTGTTTTACTAAGCTGCAATAACACTTAAGTTCAGGGCTAGCTATTAGTCTCCACGGGAGGCGGTAGGGTCGTGGGCGAAATAATCGTGTCAGATATAATGCGGTCAGTTTATAGGCTTGATAACACTAAAGACCACATATAAAACCACACATAAAACATATTCATTCCAAAGTCTCAAGAAGTATTGCAATATTAAACAAGGCAAAACAGATTCTTGATCAAAATTCCCTCTACATTCTTTACTGTTCATTGGTGTTACCTTATTTAAGTTACTGTGCAGAGGTTTGGGGCAGTAATTATAAAACTACAACACAATCCCTATTTATTCTACAAAAAAGAGCAATAAGACTTATTAAAAATGTCGGCTATAGGGATCATACAAACCCATTATTCTTAGAGCTAAAATTATTAAAACTGTCAGATCTTGTTGAATTCCAAATTGCACAAATCATGTTTAAGGCAAAAAACGTTCAATTACCTGGGAATATTCAGATATTGTTCAATGAAAGACAAGGGAATTATTATTTACGGGATTCTTTTATATTCACTAATGTTAGGGTGCGCACAACAAAGAGACGTGTTTGTGTTTCTGTTTGTGGGGTGAAGATCTGGAACAATTTGAGTGAGGAGCTAAAGGGATGTCCAAACATAAAACTATTAAAAAGAGGTATAAAGACACAATTCTCACACGGTACAGGGATGAAACTGCTAAACCATAACTGTTTATATTCTTGTTTTGTATTCTATTTATGAATTTGTGTATGTATGTATTTGTATGTGTACATATGTATATACTGTATATATATAAATATTTTAAGACCATTCTCCTAACTTGCCTGTATATATAGATATATATTATATGAATGATTATATAAAGTATTCAATGTTTATTTATTACTTATTCAAGATTATAAGTATACATTTATATTGTATGTTAACATATATTAAGATGTAACATTTTTTTATAATTTAGATTTTGGGAGAAGGGGTCGGATTAAATAAGTGCAAACTTCTTCCGACCCCTTTTCGGACGTGTAATTAGCTAAAGCTTTGTTGTTTATTGATATCAGACGATGATTCTACAGATTATTCAATTATTAATTACATTTTTCGTTTTGTTATTGCTTTCATTTGTATAGTACTGTATCATGTATGGATCACCTTTTGTTTCATTTGTATTTTCTTTAGTTTTACACTTTCGAAAAAACAAAACAAAATTAAGTACATTAATACATTGAGTTTATTTATATTGTGCTTTCCTAGACTTATCAACCAATCCAAGAGAACAAGAAATGGTTAATGTTTCTCACCTCGAGTCATTTCTGCTACTCTCTGTCCTTGTCAGACTTCCAGAAACACATTCTCATAAAGTCTCCTATTCTCTCTTTTCTTTGTAATTCTTCCTCTCAGCTATCTAGGACTCTGTGTTGCACTTTCACGCACATTTATTATGTTTAAAAGTCCCTGCAAAAGTTAGAGACACATTTTAAATCTGTGCTACCCCACTGCGTTTCTTTCATGCATTTTCTCTCAACATTACAAACTGTATGACACACACACACACACACACACACACACACACACACACACACACACACACACACACACACACACACACACACACACAACATCAACAGCATTGAATCAAAGAATCAAAAGGAAGAAGAGGAATCAAAGGGAAAGGCAGATCAGAGGAAGGTTCAAACTCCTTTAAGCAAGAAATCTGACCCATGAACAGGGAGGGAGAGGGAGGAACGAGCCAGATGAGTTGAAGTGAAGCAGACACTTACATGTAGGTGCAAGAGAGATATCAAGAGATAGAGAGATAAAGGAGAAGGGAGAGTAACACACTGATCAGCAGATTCTGCAGGTTGTTGGTGATTCACAGGGAGGAGAGGGAGAAGAGGGTCGAGGCTGGCAGAGAAGGAAAACACCCTGGAGTCCAAGAACCCAAGCGGCCCTGAAGGCTCCTGGATTACTGCGGGACATCTTACAGTTTTTCTCAATCGCTATTTAGAATCAAAATTCCTTTCACCAAACCAACAGCACAGCCATCGAAACAGAAAACCATTTCTCTACAACAGTATACCATTTATCATTGATATCACACAAAATGCAGATGCTAAGCAGTGTTTTGCAAAACAGATCACACAATTCTCTAACTGAAGTTACAATTCTCTACACAAACATCACAAATCTTTTCTGTAACTCATGTCTACAAAACAAAATAATCTTCTCACAGTGGATAACACTTACTCCTCATAAACTTAGACCATAGCTACACTAATTGACACTTGATGTGCAAAATATTAACACTTGTTATCAGTCAATCACGCCATTGAAAAAGGGTAACTGCATGGAAGTACGTAAACCTTACCAGTAATGTGTTACATGATAAACATTTACAATGACAGAATTTGCATGACTGTACTTAAAATATTTTTTTGAATGGTGGCCGGTAAAGCTATAATAGTGTTGATATGACTTGCATAGCTCTTTGAGATGTTCCTATGGGGAGGATTTTAGCTATAGTTTGATTAGTAGGAGCAATACATTTTACAGTCAAATAATTGTGGTCTTCCCTTTTTGCAGTTGAGCAAATGTATTTTTTTCCCATGTAAGATGAATTGCTCACAGCCTGAATATCAATGACTCTTCCTATACTATGTAATTTGTGGAGATCCTATAAAAAGACCTCCCTCACTTACGTAAGATGTTTGTGTGAACAAAAAGGCTCTGATTCGAGTAGCAGAGGAAGTCTGAGAGGAAGACAGAACCCTGTTGTTCTAGCCAAGGAAGAGGGAACCCAAATGTTCCACAGAGAGAGAGGGAGGGCTGTACGTATGCGTGGTGGGTGGGAAGAGTTGAAAGGGGGACCCATGCGAACAGAGCAGTTTCGGGACAACAACACCGTGCAACTATTGTGGACCACGTCATAAACCATGCATGTACCTCAGTGAGGCTGGCCAAAGGGTTCAGCCCAATAACGGAGATCACAGTGGGCATCCATATTTAGGATCTTCAGGCACGAAAATAGGTAAGCTAGCTGTAACCCTTTTTTGCAGGCCACTTCATGCAGTTTACTATATTTTTATGTGGATTTTCGATGCACTGTTTTTATATTAGCAGAACATAACATTCCAATATTTATTGATAGAACGGAAGAGCACCCCCGCTCTGGTGGCAGAAGGAAGGCTTACCTCCAGAAAAGAGTGCTGCCTTGTTGATATGGTTTGTAGCAAACATGAAAATCCGGCTAAGGGAGATTGAGGCCAGAATAATGCGACAGGAATGTCTTCAGTAACATATCCCATCGATAAGGTTGCAACATTGACCGGGTGTTTAAAGAGGGCACCACCTCAGAATGAAAACAGATCTATAAGGTTTCCTTTTGAACGCAACTCTGAAACCGTGTGAGGAGTTAAGGCACGGTATGTACAGGTAAGGACCAGTCAAATTCAGAGTGAGGCTTGCCTATATTTTTTAGTATGTCGGAACTGTCTTAGCAGTAATGTAAAACGGTCTCTGTTTGTTTCATTTTCTTTTAGCAAAATGATGGAACTGGAAGGCAATGCATTACCACATGTGTTTGTATACTTGGATGAGCGGTTTGCAACCTCGTCGAAGTGAGGAGCGTGGGGACGGAACCATATTGGGCAAAGAAGCACAGTCTTTTTGTCCAGGCCAAAGGGGAGGAACATAACTATGCCGACCAGGGCGTCCTTGCTCACATGCCGCTGTAATGGGAGCATATAACCACACAACGTGTCCTTGCTTCCTGGATGTCTGCATGAACCAACTTGTGCCCACGCAGAAGAGAGGGATCAGGGAGGTCGGTTCACCGTATGAAATTTTTTTTTAACACGATTGTGTATGTTACTTCGTACTTCTACGAAATATTGTGAAGGAAATGCGTGAACATGCGTAGCCAAAAAAGGACGCCCATCGTTAAACTGCGTCCGACAAAAGTCTATTTTGTATATTTTTGACAGTTATACAATTGTGTAAACACTAACTAGACACATCCGTACTATAACTCACTGATAATGTACTCGTTACACAGATAACATTTTGTTTTGATGGGAGGGACGCTATAATTATCCAGCGAAATCTCGCCGCTTGTAGTTACGTCTCTAGTAATAATAAATTTATGCAGCTCTAGACTATACCTCCTAACATGAGTATGTAAAACAGCCGCTATCTGTTGTAGTTACTGCACTTACTGGTCCTGGAGACGCTAACATAATGGGGTCTGTCGCCCAGCACCCCTTCCCATATCCTCCATCGTGACGTCTCAAGCTATGATAACATAAATTTATCACAATAAAATATCTCATTTCATTATGGATTCGGGATTAGAGACTCGTTGTATGCTAGCTAACTAATTTTTGGTGTTTTGACTGTTCATGTTAAATTAGCATGTCAAACAATGTCGGCAAAGGCAAGGTTTTAGAGCATCTACTATCTTTACTGTAATTCGTGTATAGCAATAGTTTGAATTGCGACGGACCAATAGGAGTCTGACAATGATATGTGTGAAATAGAAGGATTTTTGAGTTCTGTTACTAGTATAAGGTTGTAAAATTAGTTGTACATGACGGAGAGACCACGAAATCATAGAATGTTTTATTGGTAAATATGTTTGTACATGGGGATGGAAGGGGGTGTCTGGGAAATATGTGGTCATAAGGATAATACACTGATAGCCTTTTATATATTTAGAGGGTTTTTAGAGGAGAGTTAATTTTATTTCACTAGAAAAACTAGCGCAACATTTCTGGTTATAATTCGTCTCCATCAAACACAACGTCGCGCGGCTTACTGTGTAAACGTACATTATCAGTGAGTATAGTGGATGTGTAGTTGGTTTACAATTTTATTAATGTAAAAAATATACAAATATGATTTGTCGGACCTAGTTTAATGGGGTTCCTGTTGGCTACGCATGTTCACGCAATTCCTGTTAATATTTTCTAGAGTACAATTAAAATACAAATGGGTAATCAGTGAGTGATTTTAATGCCTTTTCAGTTACTTTATGATTCGTTCTTTTTTTCATTGGTAAAAAAAAAATCGTATGCATTTGTAACTAAACCCCGAGTCTACTGGGGTTCCTATTGTCCTCCCAATTTGCGATTACTAATTTATATGTGGATGCCGTTAGACATCTAGTATTAGTACAAATATAAGACGATTACAAAATCCTTAGTCGACACCTGAGTATTGAGAGCGTGTTTTCTGCAAGAGAGGGGCAAGGGTTGTCATCTGTTGTCAGGTTCAGCCATTGTCTGTCGAGCGTGTAGTAGAGGTGCACTTTGTTCTTTACAATAACAATATGTTCTCTATCTATCGAAATGTAAACTCATTTACATTGTTAACTTACGTACTATTAACTTCGCTGAACATTACTGAACCACAATCCATTGTTCTGGTTACAGAATTGACACAGGGAATTTAACACCCTAACACTGGGTTGTATTGACAAAAGAGATCAATAACACTACACAAAAAATACTATATAAGTACAACAAAAATTGATATCGTTATTAGACTTGTTTCATTTGTGTTTGGAGTGTCGCTCGTCTAGGTCAGGTTGAGCATACACCCTACCACGGCTTGTCCCGCACTCCTACGTCGTCGCGGTGGCGTGCATCAACTACGAGCGCACTGCGAGAAGTTGACTCGTCGGGCCTGACGTACCTTGAAGGGGTCTAAGTCGTATGAGGTGGTCGGAAGAGGTCCCAGAGGCGGCGCAAGAGTTTTTTCGAACTTCGACCGAACACCTGGTGAGACTCGGTCCTGAGTAGTGCAAGCTCTTTCTCTCCTCTGTGTTTACGCGTTCACCGTTCGAGTCTTATCCTTATTACAGGAAAACCACCTTAGTAACACGATATAATTTTTTTTTTTTAATTTTTTTCCGTCTTCCCAACCTGAAACTTTATTCCATTTGAAGAAGCTGGGAAGCTGACATTCATGGATTAAAAGCCTGATATTCGCGCGGAAAAAGGTAAAAGCTTCGAGCGAATATATTTTCCGGCCCGATTAGTACATTAAAAGTTTCTTGCCGGTGACTCCCTGGGGGATTTAGATACCTAAAATGTCCAATGTCAGTGGTGGAATAGGGATACCTGGCTACGGCCAGGCCCTGGGGGTAGCGCACAATTCGCGGCCGACCCTCCGGCCTTTCTCACTTCTGTTCTGCGCGTTTCATTTTCACTTGCTCTCACCATGCTCTCTGTCTTGCTCTCGCTCTGTCTGTCTGAATTGCTTCGTCGCTCTGTACAAACAAGGGGGCATGGTGGACCAACTTTTGGTGACGAACATCTAGTGACGGCCATGCACGGACCTCGCGGCGATTCAATTTCAACTTTTGCAACACAACAGCTTGCGATACACTATGTCATGGTCAAATGTGTCGTGTCATGTTACAAGACATCGATGATACTGATTGTACCTTGTGAACTTATGCCATACGTTATGACGTTGAACAAACAACTTTAAATTATTTAACCCTCGAGAGTTGTCGGTACGAAAAGGGCTGTAGGGGAGAACGTGCTTCGGAATTATACCGATTAAGTTTGTATTTTGTGACGCCGATATCAGGTCACGCCGAATATATAGCATTGTAGAAGTTTAAATCGCGACGCCGAATATAAAGTCCACCGCGAATTCAGCTTTTAGCATCAATTCGAAACAACAATGAACTATGTTCGTTATAGATGTCTAATGAGTAATAGATAATGTATAAAGCAAACAAATAACCTAAGTAACTATTCGTGACAAAGTTACAGACATAGCTAGAAAACAACGTAAACATAAAAGATCTCTCTCTCTTTATGTGCGAGCTTTTTTAGTTATTGTATAAAAAAACTGTTGCTACACCACGAATGGACCACAGCTGACACTCTTCTCCTACACATCTGTCGGTGTAGTAACGTCTCAGTAAGGACATTCTCTTTGTTAGGATCCATTCTACACCTTCCTCTAGTTCGGCTCGCCGTTGTGCTTTAGATGTCCTGTCTCCGTCAGTTTGATGGTCTCTCTTGACGACACGACCTTCTTCACGGTCGGATGTCTTGTCAAATACTAAGCAAAAAAAATAATGTGAACCATTTTTTTTTTAGATACATTAAACATTGAATGGGGTCAGATTGACCCCAAGGATAACAGGAGGGTTAAACGTAATGATTAAATATACACTACGGCTAATCTGTAGATCAGTACTCATGTTTAATTCTGCTGCATGTTTTAGGAATAGTGTGGACTCATACTTCTCCACAAAGACGTTCTTTCCCGTTCCCAGACAATAGAAACAGGCCAAGATCCGGTAACAGGACAGCTGCACATCATTCACTGAAACAAGAAATGTTATTGTTATACAAGAGAAAGATTAGCTTTACATTTGAGTAAATGTAACAATTGAATGCATGATAATTGAAGGCTTGTAATGACTTGGTGTTAGGTACAAGACCAATGTCCTTAATGTGTCCTTATATTGTGGATTGTGATCATTACTGTTCAGTTACTTTCTTTTCTTCTAGTTATTGTGATGTGTTTTTTATGATATATTCATGTTTGTTTTTTAAAACTATACAAATAATCTGAAAAAGTAAACAGAAACTCACAGAGCAGATCCACTCCAAACTCGTATGTGGTGATGTGCTCGAACAGGGCGGTGAGGATGGGCAGCAGCGCCACCGTCACGTAGTTGATGCTCTGAGTGACGCTCTTCAACTGAGCCCGGGACTGCATGAACTTCCCCAGCTTCAGCATCTCCACCAGCTTCTCCAGGTCCTCCGCCGCGTTCTCAAAGAAAGTCTTGAAGCTGGCTTTGACCAACTCTGAGCCGGACTTCATCACCGTTCTGAGAGAAGAGAGGAGACACAAAGGCAAGCTCAAGAATAGCTATAATGGTCCTTTTGGTGGATCACTGTGCTTGTATTAAAAAAAAAATTAAAAAAAAGGGGAGAAGGGGTTGGATTAAATAAGTGTAAACTTCTTCCAACCCCTTTTCGGACGTGTAATTAGTTAAAGCTTTGTTGTTTATTGATATCAGACAATGATACTACAGATTATTCAATTATTAATTAAATATTTCATTTTGTTATTGCATTCATTTGTATAGTACTGTATCATGTCTGTATCATCTTTTGTTTCATTTGTATTTTCTTTTGTTTTACACACTCGAAAAATTTTTATAAACTAAACTAAACTAAAGAACAAGAAACCGGCACACACTAAGAAACGTTTCACTTTTTATTACTAAAAAGAGTTCAAATGCTTATTTTCAGTTAGGCCGCTGTGTTTGGGTTTGTCCAATACAATGAATATTACCATTGTATTGGACACATATCTACAATATTGTCTTCTGGTCATGACAATCATTTTTTTAATAATATTTGAGCTGTGACTGAATTCTTATCTGATATGGATGAATTCATGTTGTTTTGTTGACTCTTGGCCAGAGCAGACTACCAAAGAAAATAAATAAAACGGAGATCAAAAAGAGTACAGTTGATTTGGCTTTAGTTTGAGGTTTTCATCGCAAGGAGCAAAAGAAAAGTGCAGGAGTTTGACTTGCAAGACGCTGTCCGATTTCAAATCAGTTACTGGCACCTCATACTGCTGGAACTGAAAGACGGTGCGAAATACACTTGACAGCATGGCCACCCTGTCACAACATAATATTGCACATTCTGGGCACCTATTTACAAGGATTTATTTCAGCGCAACTGGAAAACGGTTACAATAAGACCAAAAGGAGCTGTGGTATCATTAATCATTGAGAACAAGCTGACTGTGGCTCAGATGCTCTGACTGAAGCAATTACCTTCTGACCAATTTGCTGTAAGAATTAGTCTATATTTGGACTGTTTGGTGCTCTTGGTAATGTGATGTGACCGGTGACACTTGCTTCTGCAGTAGAACTTCTGAAACAATGTTTGTCAGCAAAGACAGCAGCGTGCAGATGCTGTTTCCAGGTGTCTGTTGGCATACAACGTGCCAGTGTAGCAAAGTGGCAGATCTTCCAAACAATGATTTAGTTACCTGTCAGTCCATGTTACTCATGATTATGAGCTTACATTTGTTTCCATCTGATTCTAGCATGAAACAGACAAACAAAATCACTTTCTAAAGTGGTAATTTAACCGGCATAGATTCCCGTTTTGCCAACCTTGTACAAATACACATATCCAGGTATGTAAACTCTTTTATATATTTGGAAACATTGGTAACTACACTTGATCTTGACAAATTAATGACTTAAGCATGGAGCATCCTGGTAGTATGAAGACATGAAGCCACAGGCTGCAGACACTCCCGGGGGAATCTCTTAGCACAGTGAGTAATGACGCAACGACCTGATGGGTCAAAGGGCTGACCTGCCAAGGACAGGGGCCGAGGGGCCAGGACAGGGACTGTGGGGCCAGGACAGGGACTGTGGGGCCAAGACAGGGACCAAAGGCCAAGAGGTGTAGGTGGGGAGTGTGGGTGTTCCAATGTTTGTACGTGTTACCTAACTGCTGGCTGTTTAAGGGCACATTCAAATGAAGTGTCCTTGTGGAGTCTGAAGCTCATTGACTGTGAACAGGGGTCAACAGAGGGCCCGATCTGAACCAGCTGGCCCTAATGATGCTGAGACAGCGGTGTCATCCCACTCACACATTAACATCTCTTTTGCACTTCTCCCAAATTTGTGGTTGTTTAAAAAAAAGTATGTATTTTAGGGAAAGATATAAAGAGTGCGTTTTAAAGTTATCATAAGCTTATCAAAGAAAACAAGGATCATGCTTCCTTTAAAAAGTTATCAGGTGTGAAAAGCAAAGAATAACATGGGAGAGGCTAGAAAAGGAAAGATTGTCTGGTGAAAACGAATGGGACTATTGAGCCCACAAAAGGTTGAAATCCTGGTAGAAACATGAAAAATCACTTTCCTTTCTGCTCTCTGACACTTTAAGCCCCTCAGCCTTTGTTGGAGACAGTACCCCAACCAATCCACTACCAGCTCCTTCGCTAAGGGACAGCAACAACATCTGCTGGCTCAGAGATTGATTAATTGGCTGATCGGGCGCCTGCGGTGTAAACTGATTGATTGATCATCTTGTGGTCAGAGCTGCCTTTATCTAGAGCCCTGGGGAGCAAACCTCTGGAGGTCCCCAGTCATCTGTCATGTCCAACACACTGGGGAAGACGGAGGAGAAATGAAGAGATGTGGGTTCATTACTGAGACATGGGGGGCATGTATGGAGGAAGTCTCAGCCAAGATGGGAACAGGGGCCATGCAGAGAGAACAATGGGAACATGGGGACAAAAGGGATGAGGATGAAAGGGAGAAGATATTTGGTGCTTTTAGAAAGAAAGACAGACCATGGCATACTGTAGGACGGTGAAGGCAGAAGGAGAAAATAGTGTGGCCCAGCCAAGAACAACAACAGAACATTTTGAAATGAAACAATAAGAAGAGCTTTCAAGTGCCTTCAACAAATTTGAAGGGTTTAGTAGTTGGGGGTAGCTGAAAATTGAGACCGAAACCCTGGTGCGTCAACCCTCCTCCCCTATCAAGTGCTACCTTGACTGTCTCCTGATTGGCCCTTATTATCAGACAGAGCTCTACTGACAACTGACTATTGAGCGGTCTTTATGAGATGGAGCTTTCCAGCTAAATCTCCAGTCCTCATTACAAGACGAGGATCTCCCACTATCAGTGTTTTATGATAGGAGGTAGAGCGCCCCCCATTAACAGCTGGGCATGACTGCTGACCAACCTGAGATTATAGTTTGAAAATGTAGTAATAAAGTCAATGTCAAATGTCAGCAACAGTAGCTAGTTCCTCTTTATTAAGTCAGTTAAAGTTATTCTGCCTCAAGAGAGTTGGTGTGGTTTATTGAACAAATCCAGCAAATCATGATTATAGAAACCCAAAAAATCTATTTCTGAAAAATTTACTACTACCAGAAAATAATATACAACAATTATTTGTTTTAAATCTAGAGAATTTGCAACATAGAAGGAAATGTAACTTTAAGCATCAGTTTGCATTGACTACTTTAAAACTGATCTCTGTAGTTGGAGTAAAACTGTGGAATTGTTTACTAGATGATTCAAAGAGATCTATGTATGACCTCTTGAGAGACATCTTAAAGAACATGTATAAAGAGATAATAATTAGACAGTATGAAGATGTCAGGTAACCTGTTTTGCTGATGATAGATTGTTATGTTTGGTTTTGGTTTCATGTTACTGTAAGTATTGGTTGTAAGCAGCTGTGATTGACAAACCATCCATTTTTTGGTAAGGGGTGGGTAAAATAAGACTTTCTTCTCCCTGCCCCTTTCCATCATGGGCTACAACAACACATCTTAATGTGTACAGTACATGTTTTGTTTTATAATAATTGCCATGAGTGGAATAAAACTATGGATTTAAAGAGTTGTTTCAACCTTAGTAGTTTTCGCTGCTTCCTCTTCACGATCTTCTGGACATACAACCTCCACTCAATTATAATTCCTCACCACGAGCTTGTTTAACAGCGTGCAGTCACAGTAATAGGATACAGGGAGAAGGTGGCAGACGAAAACAAGTGTGAAGCATGCTGGTAAGCATCTTTCAGACACCCAAACCAATGGCAGAGAATTATTTTACTTGACGGCAGAGGACACAGTGAATGACCTGAGAGTGGAGAGGGCCATATTGTCTTTGGACAACAGATGTCCCGAGGGAGTGAATGAGAGAAAGAGAGATGGAACAACCTAAAGCAGAGAGAAGGTGAGAGGAATACAGAAGGAAAGACATTAGGGGAAGACGTGCAGGGAGAAAAAGGGAGAGCCTGAGGATGTGTTGCTGACATTGGACCTTGTGCACAACCCAAGCTGCATGGGCCTGACCTATCTGTGTGCATGTGCCTTCAGCATGTGGTTCCTTACCATCCATCTGTAAGTTAAAAAACACCCTGGTGAATGTGAAAGTGACTGAATCCTTGAGCGATTATGGCTGTGGGCATATTGTACATATTTCACTGCTCACACTGTGTATCAATGCATATTCATTCAATCCAGCAGCAGGTGGTCTTCCCAGGCCCGAAGAAGCCAGGAGGGGGCTACAGTCCAGCTTCCATTTCTGTCCATCAAGCCCATATCAGCAGATTCAAGGTCACCTCTAATTCACTAACCTCTTGAGCTAAACATATGCCTTTTCCCCTTCATAAACGCCCTACTGACTACTGTTAGCGTACGACACCTTTAAATGGATGCATAGAAAAGATCAATGTATTTTATCTTAAATCACAGATTCATATATATATATATATACAGTGGGGCAAAAAAGTATTTAGTCAGCCACCAATTGTGCAAGTTCTCCCACTTAAAAAGATGAGAGAGGCCTGTCATTTTCATCCTAGGTATACCTCAACTATGAGAGACAAAATGAGAAAAAAAAAATCCAGAAAATCACATTGTCTGATTTTTAAAGAATTTATTTGTAAATTATGGTGGAAAATAAGTATTTGGTCAATAACAAAAGTTCATCTCAATACTTTGTTATATACCCTTTGTTGGCAATGACAGAGGTCAAACGTTTTCTGTAAGTCTTCACAAGGTTTTCACACACTGTTGCTGGTATTTTGGCCCATTCCTCCATGCAGATCTCCTCTAGAGCAGTGATGTTTTGGGGCTGTCGCTGGGCAACACGGACTTTCAACTCCCTCCAAAGATTTTCTATGGGGTTGAGATCTGGAGACTGGCTAGGCCACTCCAGGACCTTGAAATGCTTCTTACGAAGCCAATCTTTCGTTGCCCGGGCGGTGTGTTTGGGATCATTGTCATGCTGAAAGACCCAGCCACGTTTCATCTTCAATGCCCTTGCTGATGGAAGGAGGTTGTCACTCAAA